ATATACATTGGGTACTAAGAACAGGGCCTAATGTACAGTAAAGGCTACATAAACATTAGCCATTATTAGCATATCGCCATTTTGGTCCATGAAAGACTTTTTCAGTAATTTTTCTTCTCCGATCTTCACTCCCATTCTCCTCTCTGCTTAAAGGTACAGTTTTAATAATGTTCTTACTGCTGGGACAAAATACCCTCACCCACAACCTAAAGTACAGAAGGTTTACTTTGGCTATTTTAGGGGTTTCGGTCATGTTTGGCTCAAACACAAAGCGCTGAAGAAAGGGGCCACTGGAGGAAGGCTGCTCACCAAGAGCAGCCTCAAAGCAGGGAGTGAGGGGAGGAGCCAGGAGGGAAATTCACCCTCCCAATTCAGGCCCCAGGGACCTCCTTTTCCCCTTAGCAGGTTAGCGCTCTGTAATTCAGTCACCTTCCAAAAACCTTGCTGTGGAGCCGTGAAGCTTTGTGAGGAACATCGAGATGTAAACTTTCAAGATACACATGTAATGCTGAAATAAAAATTTATGCACATATCTTTTTACATCATATTTTGTGTACTTTTTCTTCTAAGAAATTTTTATTGCTCAAGATCACACAGAGAACCCTGGATCCTACACAGATCAAGAGATGGACACCTGCACCCAGGTCTCACTGCACAGACCTGTACTCTCAGCGAGAAACATTAGGGTATGACAGCGCTGGCTGGGGGCGCAGGCTTGACCTGTGAGTTACAAGATCCTGGAACACCTGCACAGAATAGATCTCGAAGCCCTGCACATGAACTTCTCATGAGAACTTGAGTAGGTTTCGCATAAGATGGCCTAAAAATGATGTCGGCCTGAGATACGGGATCCCCAAACCACTTCTCAGGACCTGTATATAGAACTTCTCACGGGTTTCCTTGAGATTCAGGGTAGCACAAAGGGAGAGCTACCATGTGGCTTTCCTCTTGATAGTCACTCTCTGTCTTCCACGGTGTGCTTTATTTTGCCTTTTCCTCTTTTATTTGCCTCAAGCTTGCTCTGCAGAGCCAGTTTCTCCCTCATTTTTCAGTTTTACTTTTTCAAATAACAATCATTGTTTTTTGTTCATTTTTTTCAATTCTTTGTCCAAAATAAGAAGAACTTGGAGTCCAACTCTAGAAGTGATATGAGCACCACAAAACTGCTAACCTTTATTCTGCAAGCCAATTTCTGGGAAGAGCAACCCTAGTACTTTGGGAGGCTGAGACAGAAAGGTTCTGGGTTGGAGTCCAACCCAAGCAATTTAGTGACTTAGTGACCTGTGCAAAGTTAATAACTACAGGTGTTTGGGCATAGAAAAAAAAACCTGTGCATAAAATTAGAAAAAATAAAATTTTTTCTAAATTAAAATTATTTTTTTCTAAAATTAAAAATTAGTTTTAAAAGTTAATTAGAAAATTTTTTTCTAAATTAAGAATTAAATATTTCCTAAAAATTAGAAAAAATAAAAAGGACTGGGAATGTAACTCAGTATGAAGGCCCTGTGTTCAACTACTAGAATGGCAAAACAAAACAAAACAAAATAAGCAAAGAATGCTCCCCACTCTAGAAAGAAGTCATTCCAATTGTAACTCCTTCCTGCAATAACAACTATTATTTTTATGATAATTTCTTTTCATTTTTGTCACCTAAGCATGCATCACTACATGCTACAGGTTTGCCTATTTCTTTGTTGTTTTGATATGTCTTGAGTTGATATTTCTAATGCAAAGTTCCCCCATTTGCCCGTCTTTCCCTTTTTCCTTTGGAATTTGTTGAAGAAACTGGGTTTGGTGGCATATGCCAGAAATCCCAGCATTTGGGAGGCCAAGCCAGGAAGATCACCATGAGTTTGACGCCAGCCTGAGCTACATGGTGAGTTCAAGGCTAACTGGACTACACAGCAAAGCAAAAATCAAACAAAAGAAAAACCAGATTATTCTAGCATTTCTTATGACCTGAATTTTGTTGACTGCATTCCGAGGAATAATTTAACATGTTTTACTCTCCTTCATGCACACTGCAAATTGACTCCTTGATTATAGTGGGGTCAAAAATCCATGTGTCTCCATCAAACCAGAAAAAGTCACAATGCCAAAAATAAGGGAGAAATAAGAAAAAAAACAATATCATATTTGGAAATTTGTGTGATAAAAATCATAACGCCTTTAGATAATTTTATAAACTCTACTAAAATACATAACTGACTTGAAAAAATAGATGTGCTATGATCATGGAGGTGGCAATTTGGGTGGGTAAGATAGTGTGTGACTAAGCATTCATTCCTATTTCTTTCAATGCTCATATCCATGTGTCATAAATCTAGAAAGTTAAATACTTAATTTCTCAGATTTCTGTGCAGTTAGCATTCTAGGAGTGAATAATTTTGCTAAAAGGTACATTAAGTAAGAAATGGAAGACAAACATGAAGCTAAAATAACATTGCCTTATTATCTATTTTTGTTTTTGCTGGCAAGCATGCTCATGAAGATGTCAGTATTTATTACAGTAGCTTTTTTTGTTTGGTTTTTTTTGTGGTACCAGGGATCAAACTCATGACCTTGCATTTGCCAGAAAGGCACTTGTGCCACTGAGCTAAATCCCCGGCCCCTAGAGTAGCTTTCTAACGTCCAGTCATTCACTTAGTGGATGTTGGGTAGCTGCTACTGTAGCCTGCTGATCCCTGAATTATACCTCCAGTTGTATACTACTAACATAATTCATTTTGCTGTTGGGTTCTGATTCTGTGTCCTCCTAAAGGGTACAGGCAGTGGTTGTGGCTCCTAAGGCCAGATCTGCAGTAGTCTCCTGGGACTCACTTCTGACAGCCTCAGCCTAAGCACTTCTTCAGCCCTTGGAGCAACTTTTTTAAAAGTATCAATTCTTTACACGGTATTGAATCTTTATGTATTTCAAGTAGCCAGATCTATTTCCCGCAAATAAACACATTCAATGATTCACAAAGATATAAAACTTTCTAAATCTACACAATCAATAAAAATCTTAAATATTTGAACAAAACTTCAAGTGCATATGCAATTTAAAAAGGAAAAAAAGAATTTAAGTATTTTGGCTCTTGTTGAAACTGACTCAAATATTAGAGACAAAAACAATTCATGGACTTTAGTTAGATCATAAATTTATGAATCACTGGCAAACTTTTACCTTTCTTGCCTTCTCTGTTGACAAAGGCCATCTTGTGTGCTGAGTGAGTTACTCTAAGGCTGTTCATGTGCAACACTGGAAGCCAATCAGTCCCACTGACATTGGAAGCGCATGGGAAACGACATTCCTGAGTTAAGCATGTAAAGTTAATAACTATGGGTGTTTGGGGGTTAAAAAAAAAAGTGCATAAAAATTAGAAAAATCAGACATTCCTGCAGCTAACAAACGTAGAAGCCGCTAAAGTAAAAAAGTACACATTGATGTAAAGGTAAGGTTTAATAGTTACTCTTCGATTTTCAACCTGATATATTTAAAATTGCAAAAGAGGAGTAAAATGTGAAAAAAAGTAAAATTAGAAAATAACTCATGTTTCCTAAAAACAATGTAAAAGGTAAGCCAGGTGTCAGGATTCATGTCAAATCTTATTTATGAAAAAGTTCAGAAAACAACACAACTAGGAAAAGTCAAATCCACCCCTCGCCCAGGATAATATGGAGAAAAGGGATAAAAATATTCCCAAATGTAGATATAAATTCATTTCAGAAAGGTAAATACTTCTATATATTTTATAACTTGATAGGACTGAATACTGTTGGCACAATTATTCAGAACTTTATCATTAGGATGGGGACCCATGTAACCTAGTACCACCACTCCCACATCTTACTAAACTTGACTCATTTGATTATGGCAGCAACATCGTGTTTTGAACAAGTAACTGTTTCAATTACTCTAAAAAGTAATAACAGCTGTCCTCACTGGTTTTCTTAATGAGATAGCAATTTTAACAAATGTATGGGTAAAAAAAGTGTTCAAAAAAATGAACTTATTTGGAAAAGTTTGTGTTTATTAAATTTTCCTGCTGTATAAATTGTACTCTGGCCAAAATTTCAGGCTCGCTTTTTTTGTAATGAGAAGAGAACTCAGGACCTTGACCTTGCAGGGCAGGCTCTTAGGCTCACTTTTGAATATGCATTTTGGAGCTAGGCCCACAAAAAGGCTGAACAGATAGTATTTTTAACTTAAATTGCCATTTTAAATGTCAGTGGTTTTACAGTTGCCTTTAAGTTGTCCTGCTAAAGCAAATTTAACGCACCAGGCACACATTCATCTCTGACTGAATTACTAGTTAAGAAAGGTAAAGTTGTTTCTTTGTGAGTAGCTCATTGCCAAATCCAAGCCAATTCAATAACAAGGAGTCAATATTTGCCTGTTAAAGAAACATGCATGTCTAAAGGTTGAAAGTGTTTAACTGTTAAATTTGCTAAAATGTAAGTCTGGTTCTATAGAATTGTGAGAACGCTCCAGAAATTGTGAACCGCAGCCCCGAAATCTACCAAATCATCTAGCCTTGGAAAACAAAGGTATTTATTTGTTTTAGACAGTTCTCCAATCTACGCTACCCAACAGGCGGACACCTGAAGCCGCGGGCGCTGCTGGGAACCCTAGATACTCCGGAGAGTAAAAAAAAAAAAAATTGGATACGATGGACACAGGAGAGACTTTCTCAACCCTAAGTATGCAAACAATCAAGCCCTCAGACCCTCCTTGGCCTTTCCAAGACTAACAATAGTACTCTCCGGCCGCAGCCAGTAGGCGAACACAAGCCGGTGAGACTCTTCCAAACAGTAGTGCACGAAGCTGCGCGTGCGCAGTCACGCCATCTGGTTCCTGAATTTTGGAGGAAGTAGCATTGCGTCACTTCCGGCCTCCCTCTAGCTGCCATCTTGCGTCCCCGCGTGTGTGCGTCTAATCTCAGCTGGTCTTCCAGAGACCCCCTGAGCGCCAATCCTAGTCCCCCGTGCTGCCCCATATCCGCTCCGACAAGGTACAAAAAGGCTTTGGACGCCGGCGTGGGAGGAGGACGGGAGCGGGGGCGGGAAGTTCCCGGAAGGAGCGAGACAGGGAGGGACAGGGCTGAGGAGAGGAAGGCGATGCGACGGACAGGCGCACCCGCTCAGGTTGACTCTCGGGGGCGAGGTCGAGCCAGGGGCGGCTGCCCTGGGGGCGAGGCGACTCCGTCTCTTCCTGCACCTCTCGGCGGAACCCGAGGAGAGGAGCCTCAGGTACCGCGAGGCTTGCGGAGAGTGGCTGGGCCGGGAAGGCCCCGGCTAGGCCAAGGCCGGGCCGGGGCCGGGGTGGGGGGTGCTGCCCTTGGCGTGGGACACAGCCCTGTGCTGGGCTTGTAAAGGCGGGGAGCTGCGGGGGTGGGGCGGGAAGGGAGTGTTCTTGGGGCTCCCTCGGAGCCAAAATTTGGAGCTTTTCGGGGTGGGTTTGGGGATTAGGCCTCGGCCTTTGTAAGGCGTTTATTTGCGCATGCCTTGGGAAATAAGCGTGTAGTGCTGGAGTGATCTCCGTTGCTGAGGATTTCCTCTTTTTCTAGATGAAAGAAACGATCATGAACCAAGAAAAACTCGCCAAACTGCAGGCACAAGTGCGCATTGGTGGGAAAGTAAGTTAAGTTCCTTTTCTATTTCTAACAAATTGGATTATGACTTTGCTTATAGGCGGAAATTTAGAGCCAGCACATTAAGGAAGTGGGGTGGTCAGAGATTAGGCAGATACACATAAGAATGAGAACTACCAGTTGTATATTCAAAGGGAAAAGCAAATAATTAAAGAACATTTAAAACATTGCTTTTATGTAAATATGTAAACAAGTTGTCAGTGTTACATTGTATATAAGTCGAACAAAAATGTTGCCTAGTTTTACTAGTAGGAAAAATGTGTCATTTAAGATGGATCAGGTTATTGTGTACACCACAACCTAGAGTTGTTTTGGCTTAAGTTGTACAAAGCCGGCGGTTTTTTTTTTTTTTTTTTCCCCTGTTGAGTCTTGAACCTAGGTCCTATCACGTGGTAGGTAAGCACTCAAATGCTGAGCCACTCTCAGCCTTGTTCTTTGTGTGGGACTGGGAATGAAACCTGGAGTTTTGGGCTCTGGAATTACACCCCCACCCACTCCTTCCCCTTTTAAAATGTATTTTGTGACAGGGTCTCACAAAGTTAACTCCCGCTGGGCTTGACCTTACAGTTCTCTTGCCTCGACCCCCAACAGTGCTAGGATTACAGATGTGTACTACAAAATTTGGCTATAAGTTTTCAAGGATATTTGTAGACTCCGTATAGTTATATTTTGAAGTTACAGTGATGTTAGATTTGAATATGCTACTTAAGCAGACGTTTTTCTGTTCTGACTTTTTAATTATGCTAAAACAGAGGGAGTTAAAATGACTGCAAAATTGCTAGTTTGGGGTTAATTGGTTTTTTTCAGATGGGTATTCTTCCAGGGTTTTCCTTCTTCGAGGATATGCTTTTTTGAACTCGGTTTGTAGGTTTTCTGAAAGCAGTTTAGTTGTTTTGTATTGTTAGCACATTCCTACTATTTGACAAGGTGTGGCAGGCAGCTTGTTGAAACAGAGCATGTCTTTACTTGGTAGAACCTGTGAAGAAGCTTCCATAATACAAATTTATGACCTGTTAAAACTTTCCAGCTTTAAGCATTCAAGTAGAGTGATTCAAGTGAGGTAGCCGGAAGCTTAACGTCGATTAAATAATAAGATGCAGCATTGTTAAATTACTAGGCTTGCCAGAGTGAATATCCTGAGTTTTCTTTTACCTTTGCTGACACTAGTAGTCTTCAAGATCCACACCTGAACATTAACAGCATTAGGTATTTGACCTTTTTAACAGTTACAGACTGTAGTCTTTTGGTGCCAGAAAAACTCACTGTATTTGTTGTGAGCATTGTTTGAATTCCCTGTATTGGTCTTTTTAACCATCCAGAGTGCAGTTTCAGTGTACATTCAATGCTTCTAATGCACATTACTAACGTGATTAACTTCATTAAGTAAATTGAACTCTCCATTTGTGAAAGGTGCAGAATCTGCAGGAGATGATATGGTGGTTTTGTTTTTAGACTCAGGTATCTACGCGACCACTTTAGGGTGATTATTCAAACTTTGGGGAGATTTGGTAACCTTTTGTGTGTGTGTTAGTTTACGGGTAGTTTCTTCAGTTAAACTACAATTAAACTTTTACTATGTTTAATAAAAATACACAATTTAAGTGTAAAGTTGAACCAGGTGTGGCAGGGCAGGCCTATAATCCCAGCACTCTAGGGAACCGGAGGAAGGAGGACCAGCACTGGGCAGCAAATCTATTTTCATAGTGTGATAGGCCTAATACAGTAGAAGCATTTTCAAAATAGAGATATGAGTGGAGTGTGGTGGTACATGTCTGTAATCCTGCATTTGGGAGGCTGAGGCAGTAGACGAATCATCATGAGTTTGAAGCCAGTATGCATTAGAAAGACCCTGTCTTGGAAAAAAAAAAAGATTAAGAATTGGGATAGAGGTTGGGACAGTGAGGTAGTTAGGTTGTAGCTTTTCCTTTGACTATCTTAAACAAGCTGGACACTGCAGGAAGCAGTAAGGAAAATAGTCTTCAGAGAATTTATCTTTGTATTCTGGTAATAAGTTTTATGCAGGTAAACCAGTTAGACAATGAGAGAGGGTTGCTATTTTTTACATTGGTGTTTGTAGTCTGGTTGGCCTGTTTAAGGAATAGCAGAGAGGTTTATTTAGTAGAAGAAAGAGAGTCAAGAGCAGCATATTAGGGACAGGGCAGATCATGTTAGGTTCTTTGTAGGTTAAGATAAGAAATTCAAGTTTGTGCTCTCAGTGGTTCGAAAGTTTATTAATTCATTTTATTGTTTCATGTTGTTTAGTATTATTTTAGATGCTTATTTTTAAAACAAAAGGTTGAGTCTAGATGTGGAACTTACTGAAGCTTAAGTTAGGCTGACACATGCCAGTCACTTTAAAACATTTGGCAAAACTAGGAGTTTGAGGGGGTGTTGGTATAATTCTTCCTATTTCAGGGTCCATTTTTATCTTAGCCTGACTACTTAACTACATTGTTTGTGGTTATAATAGTTTTCTTACATGGGACCAAAAATCAGAAAAACATGAAACTGTTCCCGTTTTGAAAATATTTGTTATGGCCTAAGTGTGCTGTTTGCTCTTTCTTCTCACTTCAGGGAACTGCCCGCAGAAAGAAGAAGGTGGTTCATAGAACAGCCACAGCAGATGATAAAAAACTTCAGTTCTCATTAAAGAAGTTAGGGGTAAACAATATCTCTGGTATTGAAGAGGTAAGGGACAAATTGTTTTCTAGTAAGATTTGGCTAGAAAAATTTTAAATGTTCTTACTTTTGTTTTTTCTTTTTTAAACTCCCAGTCATATCACACCAGAGTTTAAAGTTCTTTATGTTTCTGCTCTGTTAGCGAGTATCCGAGAGAGCTATTTGATTGCATGTTCCTTTCCAGGCAGAATTTTACCTGTACTTCAAAATGAAATACTAGATTAGTTATATAGATGTCAATGTTTGTTTCATAAAACATACTCTGTTTTAAAGGAGACTTTGGTGGGCATTGCTAATTTAATTTTTTTCTTCATAGGTGAATATGTTTACAAACCAAGGAACAGTTATCCACTTCAACAACCCAAAAGTTCAGGCATCTCTGGCAGCAAACACTTTCACCATTACAGGCCATGCTGAGACGAAACAGCTGACAGAAATGCTACCCAGCATCTTGAACCAGCTTGGTGCAGACAGTCTCACTAGTTTAAGGAGACTGGCTGAAGCTCTGCCCAAACAATGTGCGTTTCCTATTAGTTTCATTGGGGTTTATTCAGCAGCACAGTTTTGTGACTGTTTGGATTTGGAAGGCAAACTTAAAACCAGTTATTTTAAGCCAGTTTTCTAGATGTTTATGGTAATTTGTCTAACTTGCTTTGGGTTAGAGATTAAGATTTTTTATCTTTATTAGTTTAAAATGATGAAGATGTGGAGCTGGGGATTTAGCTGAGCAGCATAAGTGCCTGCCTTGCAAGCGGGCAGTCGTGAGTTTGATCCTTGGCACCGATAAAAAAGAAGAAAAAATTAAAAAAAAATTTTTTTAAATGATGTTAATTTTGGGCTTTCCTGGTAACTAATACAGTTGAGAAGTGATTTTAAAAATATACTATTGGGGGCTGGGGATTTAGCTCAGCGGCATAAGCGCCTGCCTTGCAAGCAGGCAGTCGTGAGTTCGATCCCTGGTACCAATAAAAACAAAAAAGACAAAAAAAAAAATATGTACTATTGTACTTAGCATTTCCCACATTGATCATTTCTATGTTGACAACCTTTGGGATCTTTATTTCAAAATACAGTGAATTGTGATTATAGGTATATTTTTTTTCAGTCTTTATCAGCACAGTTAGTATAATCTTTTGATATTTTTAATTATAGTTCAGTAGGGATTTTGTTCAGAGCTGAAGGTAGTGTATCAGGATGTAAAAACTTCATGCTGAAATTTTTTTTGCTTAAAATTTTAAAGAATAGAAATGCAGAAGCAAGTCAGTCATAGCGTATAGCGTCCTATTTAGTCACCCATGTTTTTCTAGACGTGGACTCGCTCTGCCTCAGTTTATATTGCTACTTGGAGAGGTATTCAAGATTTTAGGCCATCTTACCATTCAGAACAAAAGTAGTCTTTTGAAATACTCTACCTATATCCATGACAGGCTGGTACTGTGAGGTCTTCTAATACATATGTAGTTCACATTTTTGTGTGATGAAAGTGGTTGTTTACCATTGAGAAATATCTCTAGTTTTTTAATCACTTTGTTTCATTTCCGTAAGTGTTTTGAGACTTTCGCTATGTACAAACAAGATTATTTAAGCAAATACCCTTGCTTGCCTCCCCAAATAAGTCTTACCAGAATTTGGCATGTGGGTTTTGTCCCTAATGGTTCCCTACTGATTTCACACTGAATCCAGGTCTCTGGGCCAAAGGGTTTAAAGAGTGGGCATGGAATTTATTTTGTTAGCTGTTACTATTAAAGTATTCCTACACATCAGTGTATTGTGCTGTTAGTGGTGCTACAGGTGAGATCTCAAATGTCACTTGTCATCAGGAACATAAGTTGTAATAATACTTGGCATTCTGTGTGTTCTGTTAATGTTTATTGAAAGCCTAGAGAAATGCAGAAATTACAATTCTGTTTCCTTCTCACAGCTGTGGATGGAAAAGCACCACTTGCTACTGGAGAGGATGATGATGATGAAGTTCCAGGTAGGTGCCTTGTGGTTTACCTAGAGACTTAGCAAAGGAGAACAAAAAATGCTAACAGAAAAAAAACTGCCCTGGGTAGGGGTGATAGGTTAAAAGGGAGTGAGTCTAAAAGAAGGGGGACATGGGATGAGAAAAATAACTGTTAAATAAGTAGGGGTTACATTTCTAGACTTGGCTTGTGTTTGAGATCCCAAGGAGATTTATAGGTAACTCACCTTAATACTGAATATTGTTTACTTGTGACCTAAAATTACCTGGCGATATATGTGAGCTTTGTTTCCTATTTGAAATCCATGAGTCTAGGCGATGTCATGCAGAAGTTATTTAAATCTGTTATTCCATCACTTTGTCGTAAAACATATATGGTTTGGGCAGAAGAATCACTGGATTCATAAATCCTGCCACTTTGCATAGACAGGTATCCATAGGAACCTAAGAACACTTCACAGTTGTGTCATGATAGTGTTTGGTTCTGCTTTTCCACATTAACCAGTGTTTCACATCTTTACATTTTAAGGGAATGAGAAGATTGTATATGTTCTTTGAACATGGTGCTTGTGTCATTGTCAAAATAACTTATTTTGTATTATATACCCAAAACTACACCTCTCAGTGTACCAAATAGTGAATCTCATGATAATAATGTGTGTAAGTTGGAGAGCTATTAAGGTTTGATAATTTATGGATTTTAGTTCTTTCAGACTTAACTTTTTTTTTTTTCCTCCTTAGATCTTGTGGAGAATTTTGATGAGGCTTCTAAGAATGAGGCAAACTGATCTGAGTCAGCTTCTGAAAAAGATAAAACTTGGAAGACGTTACTGGGAGCTGCTATTTTATATTATGACTGCTTTTTAAAATTGTTTTTGTTTATGGATCTGATAAAATCTAGATCTCTAATATTTTTTAAGCCCAAGCCCCTTGGACACTGCAGCTCTTTTCAGTTTTTGCTTACATACAATTTATTCTTTGCAGCCAGTTAAGCTGAAGAAGCCTGGGAATAAAGTTTGAAACAGATTAATAAAATTCTTTGCCTGGTATGTTTTTATTTTTTTAATTCCTTTACAATGATCTGTATACAGTAAGCAAACTTGTTTATTGAAAACTAACCATGGTATGTAATTGGCTGATAAACCCTTTATTCAGATTAAAGATTTAAAAACAGTATAGTATAACAAAGGTGATACAGCTTTCTCATGTTTGAAAATTTTTTCCCAACACTTACTCCTTGGATGCTTTATGTGGTACCAAGTACTTTAGGAATATAGAGTAACTCTGTGGGTAAGCGAGCAAATTTTTCTCTTGATGTTGTTTATTATAAGGATATAGTGCTTTTTAAATCTATTTTACCTCATTCATCCTCAGTTTATGAGGTAGAAATAATTCAGTTTTGTAGGTGAACCTTAAAGGTTAGCTTTCAAAAAACATGCAAGTAGTTAATCTTCAGATCCCTTCTTTGTAGGTTATTCTAAGAAGTGGCTTAAAGGAATGTTACCTGGTTCATACCGTTCTTTGCATAAGTGGTGACACTGTAGATGGCAAAGTAGAATTGAGTATACAATTATAGTAATTTTACAAACCAAACTTGATTGTATGCAAACTCTATCAAAGCCAGTTGAAGAATATTGTACTTCTAACAAGAATTTAGGATACTACTGGCAATTTGCAAGCCCTGCTTGAAGATCCCATTCAGCTATATCTAAGTCACTATCAGTTATGATACCACATATAAAGTGCTCTGTGAACAGTGTTTGTACATTTACATTGTACCATATATATTTTTTTAAGGTTATGTATCCTAGTAAACTGCATTGCTATAGTAATGAGAATCCAGAAGTCTCTGCAAGTAGCAGGAAAATGAAGTATATATCACCAGAATATTTTGGCCAGGTTGGCCTCTGTTACATCCTCATTCCCTGTCCCACATTGATGAAACAAACCTATTTTAGCCACTTCCACCATTTCGGCAGAAGAAACAGGAAACGTAGTAAACAGAAGTCACTGACCGAGGAGTGGATGGCTGGGCACTTCGCTTGTCCCTCTGACCACACCTGGATAGCACAGGCACTAGTTCATCTGGAGATAGGGTGATGGCAGCACATTGACAAGCTTAGGTAACTGTCTTTCCTGCTGTTTGAGCTACATCTATAGGAAAGGGACTTGATGCACAGCGTCTTCAGGCTAGACCTGTCTATGGACAGTTTATTCTACTGGTGCTAAAATTAATCTTGTTAAGCCCCTAATCCAACCTTTTCCCCAACAGCTTTTAAGTGTTTTTAGATAAGAGTATTTTACTGTTCCCTATTAATTAAGAAAGGGTGGGGGTTTTGTTTTTTGTTTCTTAATAGTTCTTGACTAGCAAGTTATGATGCAGTTTAAAAAAATGACCAAATAGTCTGGGCATTTAGCTCAGCGGCATAAGCGTCTGCCTTGCAAGCAGGCAGTCGTAAATTCAATCCCGGGTACCAATAAAAAGGAAAAAGACCCCCCCCCAAAAAAAATGACCAAATATTTTAGTTGTAAGAAAAATTAGTTACATGACATTTGTGGTCTGCCTGTGGTGAGAACACTGCCAATCTCATGACAGAAAAGGTGCCAAAAAACCTGCTGGCTCCTCACAAACCGAAGTTGGGAAGTGATTGGCGTCATTAGTGACAGTCATCAGCCAGAGGAATTTTGGGTCAAGTCTGACAGCTTTGGAACTGTGGCAGGATGATTCTGTTACGTGTTCTCAAGAGTAGGGTATCAGATAAATTGTAGACACTACATTCTACCATACCTTGCAATTTTCTCTGAATTGTCTGCAATTCCTGTAGCTAAGGTTGTGTGACTAGCACTGCCTCTTAGGTCTCCTTATGTGGTTACCAACACCATGGAGGAGCTACATCATACAGATGAAACCGAGTTGAAGAGGGAATTCGTTGTCTCCGGTCACACAGCCCCTCCATGGTAAGGTGGAATTCAAACCTGCTCTGCTCTTTTAGCCTCATTACTCATCACCTACTAGAAAGGAATTAGGCCCTGGCAAACCAGAAAAACAAGTCATTCTGACCTAGCAGTTTTTGGCTGCTGTCCTCTACTAAGCCTAATTCTGGACTAATTTTCAGCTGGATTGCAATGAAAGAGTAGCATGCATTTTGTTCTGAAAACTTGGAAAGCTGTTACCCTTACCATTCTGTTGAAATAAAGTAGGGAAACAGGTAGAAATGGGTCTGATTTCTCTGCTGCTTGCCCCAGTATCACTGGGTTTGTGTTCTTTACCAGCTTTTCTCTCCCTCCTATCCAGAACAGTGTATATTTAGATAGATACATGTCAGTTTTTTGAGAAAAGTCTTAAGGCACATAACAGTTTCCAGGTTTTCCAAAGCCATGATTGGGAAAGTCTTCTGTTCACACAAGTTTTCATCACTCCAATCTGCACAGTCTTGAATGCCATTTCTGTGGTGAGTTCTGGGAATGCAGGCACAGCAAAGAAAACAGTATCACATCTCCAGCCCGAGCACTCAGGGCAGGCAAAACTAAACAACTGTATTTATTTTTAAAACTGTTAAGATGTCATTGTGAACTGGAAAAGATGCTATTGGACAAGAAGTAGCCCTTTGGGTCTTAAAAATATTAGTGAAAGCTGTCTAAGGATAAAATTGCAGATGTTTGTTAAAGATTCTGTATGTTGTACTTGGGGAAGCCAAAGAGAGTACCACCTCTCCCTGTCAGCCTAAAAATAAACACACTGACATATATTACACAAACAAGGAGAGGTCCACATGAGTTTGTATATTCAACCAACAGGAAAATAATCTTTATTTTCTAATTGGCAGCGAGGCAGAAAAGACTCCCTATCCACTTTTAGCATTAGTAGTTATAATTCCTAGGATATGTTTTTAATTCTACCCTCTATGATGAGCAAAACAGATTGTGATCTAGTGCATTTCTGATAAGCATTTTGTACATTGATTAGGGCCACATCACGTTTGAATTACAATGTGTAAGTATAGCCACTCCAAGAATCCATTTAAAAAAATCAAATGTGTGTTTTCATTTTTGTCTGATTTATCTGAGCAGCCATCACTGTCATTTCTTGTGTCACATACTTGTTTTCTGGTGGGACATTTGAATACTAGATTTTATGTCCGACTGTAGGGCTTTTACCTGTATTACACATAGGCATTATTTCTGGTAGAGGACAAGTGTGATGGTAACATTTTGATAATTCTGAGTTGCAACTGGTGACTGAACCATAGCTTTGATAATTTAGTCTACCTCACCATGGTGGGTAACAGATTGATCTTCATAACTGCAGTCTGCCTCATGGTTACAGAGCAGGAGAGTGGCAAAGTGTGTAGTGAGGTCTTTTGGGACACAGGAATCTCAGTTGCTGTGAGGCTGTTTTGCAGTTGCAATAAGGTAAACTTGGAAAATCCCAACGATAAATCCATTGGTCCATGATGATGAGCATCGAGCTTTGGTTATGTGTGTGCCTTTTTACCTCATATGGCATCTTACCACTGTTCTGTCCTCCATTTTTCTTCTTTTTAGTTTCCTGAACTGTAGTACCAAACTCTCCAGGCCTGCTGATCTTGCTTGCAGGTTTTGTAAAATCATCGGTATTTTGGCAAACAAGTGTGAACTCACTGCTGCCTAAGAAGTACTTGGAGAGAGTCTGGTGGCCTGGGCTCTTAGTGAGTTTTGCCATGGATTGGTTAAGTAACCAACTCCATCATTTTCTTAGCTAGTCATGGGAACAAAGAAAACTCACTACACCAACCTCATAGGGATGCTATGAGTGAAGCTGGGATTATTTTTAAATGCAATGAACCTATCCATTCAAAATGAACGTGACGTGTACATAAACCCTAGGTTTAATACTCTGCACTGTTGAAACAAATGGAAGTGACAGTGAAAGGCCTTTTCAAAAACTTCAAAGGGTACAAAAACATTGGTGGGTGTTAAGATATAAATAGATTGGTGACCCTTGTATCTCAGACTTCATTATACATCCCATGAGATTCCTGATGGGTGTGTGGAGTGGCAAATAGCTGCAACAATTTTAGGCCCCTAGTTTGGAGTTGGCAAGAGCTTGGCGAGGACGTTTTGCATCTGGAATGCTTGGTGAGCTGATTGTTAAAGGGCAGGTAACACTACAGTTTATATCCCTTGATCCAAGAGGTTGGCATTGTGGATTTAGGGACAAGCTTTGTTATACTCTGGTAATCTGAAGGAACATTTGGGTGTCAGTTTGGGCTCTCTGAAAAACTGACTCCATAACAGTTTTCAATGTAAAGTCAATCTGGGGAAATTGCCTATGAAGGATAAAGTGGAGAAACCTAGTGCAAGCAGGGAAACTCATACCCTGATACAGGTACAGTGGACCCGTGACTTAGGGACTCAATGTGTTCACAGGGCTGGTTGTAACTTCAAGCTGTCAACTGAGGGCCCAGGTTCCTCTCCATGGCCTTCAAAGTCTCTCTCCGGTATACAGGTGGACCTCGGTGTCCTTACAGAAACACTGGCCGGGATTTCTCAATGAATTCTAAGCAGGAAAGAATGTTGTAATGTTCCTTCCAGAACACCTTAAAGGTAAATCTTCAGGTAATAACTCAAGACATTGGTCATAAGTTAAAACTCAAATTCCAATTATAACCCAAGTGGTATGTCAGGCTGGTTGTAACTTGGGGTACACTGTATAATGCCTGTGAATGAAAGGGGTAAGGAAAACGTAGTCAGGGAGGGAATCAGACTACAGCCCAGTTCTTAGAAAGTTATAGAAGGTCATGAGGGAGTCTTAGGATCAAAATTGTCCATTCGCTGAATCCCAAGTCCATGTGATGGTCTGGCACTAGAATCCCCACAGGGCTGCTATTGTCTGGGCTGCTGGCGGAGGCAGAGTTTGGATATGTGCCTGGCACTGGGTCTAGAGGCCTAGCTGCTGCAGCTGGCAGTTTACAGAGATTAGGCCCAGAGGATGCTGTTGGAGATCAGAGCAAAAGTGCCCCAATGGCTGCCATATCCTCAAAGTGTCATATGGC